AATAACAATAATAATTATATTGATAACGTTTCGGATAATCATAACAGTGACGATAATGAAAACGACAATGAAGTTGACAGTTTACAATGAAAATGAAAACGATCTCGACATTGGCGTAGACAATGACAATGAAATGACATTGAAACTGACGTGGATATAACCATTGGGCTAATTCCGCCATGATGTAACAATAACGGTAATGGTAACGGTAAAGGCAACGTAATCTATCCAAAGCGCTGCCTTCAAACGTTGTGTAGAAGTCATCATTATGGTGGTTTAGTTGTATTGAAAGCCAGACCAGTCCTAACGAATGATACAAACAGACACAAGATACAAGATACAAGTCAACTTTATTCTCAAAATAATAAATTCTGAGATATTTATAGTACATAACATAGAATCGTTCATAAATGTGATAAAAACACAAAAATACACACCACAGAATACAATAACATACATTGATACAGAAGTAAATTTTCAAAATAAGTTTATTTATTTCAACATCTTTCTGTTCTGGTTCTAATACAAGATACAAGCCAATTTTATTGTCAAAATAATAAATTCTGAGATATTTGTTGTACATAACATAGAACCGTTCATAATTGTGATAATAACACAAAAATACACATTACAAAATACAGTTACATTGATACAGAAGTAAATTTTGAAAAAGAATTTAATTTATTAATTTTAACATCTTTCTGTTCTGGTCCTTAACTCTAGCTATTGATGTCTTCGTCCGTTCCTGCCATATCTATGCAAGCGTCGTGCCTCAATTTTATTTTTGCACTAAGTAACAATAAACAATAGCTATCGAACTTATTAAATAATTGAATACAAGAGGGCGCTGTCTAATTTAATAACTATTTGAAATTATTATTATGATTTATGCTTTATACTGGGTGCGTTGCTCAGTAAATGGATTACAGTTCTCTCACAGGACCCACAATGATAGTTATGTGTCATTAAAATATACAGATGACACAGACCTTGCTATGGTATTAATATCAAAAATCATCGTCAGGGGAAATATAATCACACGCACATGAATGAAAACGATGTGAATAGTATGTGGGCTAGCTACATACTTTACACTACAAAAACCACGCGTATGGACCAATATGTCTGACCTACCTTAAGCTCTGTCCACGCCATCACATTTTATTATTATTATTATTATTATTATTATTATTATTATTATTATTATTATTATTGTTATTGTTATTGTTATTGTTATTGTTATTATTATTATTATTATTATTATTAATATTATTATTATCATTGTTTTTGTGGGGTGTAAACAAAAATAATAATACGAATGGTAATAAACGAACGGTGATAAATAATGATTACGAACAATCTGTCAATAGAGGGCGACAGAGAACAATTTGCGCATATCAAGACAACAAGTAACACTATTCAAAAATTGGCAACGTACCTGGAAGAAATTATTCGTTTTTTTATAATTCATCAGTAATGAGAAAAGATCATTTCAAAAATTGTTTTTTAAATTTATTTATTAAGGTACCGTATAACACACAAAACAAAACAACAGCCAAAGGCTGAAAACGTTTGTTTACAATCAACAAATAAAGACAACATAGGAAAACAGGTCAGGTCTGTCTCTTATACACATCTAGATGTGTATAAGAGACAGCTCTATATACCATATTATTATAATTAAATTTCAAAAACGTCAATTAATTCAAAATTAAAAATACATTTCGAAATATCAAAATATTCAAATAATTACATTAGAAAAGTTAAAAATTAATTTAATATTACAAAATATATATATATATACACACCATATTACTATAATTAAAAATGATTTAATTACCAATAATGAACATGACGATTGGGAAATATTCTGCAATTACGAAGTAAGTACTTCTGTAGGCCGGTATGAAGACAAACGTATCATTCTCAGATGAAATTTAGTTTTTCTGTGATAATGATTTATTAAGTCTACAATTACAGTATTGTGATAAGATAGTTGAAAAAACGAAATGACTTGAAGATTTTACAGTTTCAAATTAAATATCCTAAGTATTTGTGTTGTTGCGGTATATTTAACCTTGGAGACTTGAAAAATACTTTTAAATTTAAAGTTGATAAAATACAATTGTTACTATACTCTCAAACTCAACTCAATAAACACGCATTTCATTTCATTTGGCCTTTTTTTTCGTCCGACTACCCGACGAGCTCTGGCCGGTGGGTACGAGTGTTTGACCTGTCCGATGGGGGTTTAGGCCCCTGCCCCTGGCGCCTCCACTGGTAGCAAGCAGTAGCGGTGCAGTAGCAGTTTGTTGTGTTTCGATTTATTCAAGAAGATGATTACATTGTGGAGAAAACACAAAATTCCTATGTCAAAGAAACTAAATGAAACAAGTAAACCTGAAGACAGAAGGCTGTCAACATGGCTAATTACACTGCGTTATTTATGTAGTATTTTTTTTTTTTTTTTTTTTTTTTTTTTTTTTTTTTTTCCTGAACTGGTCATTCAACTATTCCTTAAGTTGTGAGCAGTAGCAGAGTGCAGGAGCAAGCAGTGCAGCAGCAGCAGTAGCAGTAGTAACCTACTATAGTTCTAGTAATACAGCAGAGTAGTAGTAACAAGTCTGTATTCTGCCAGAATCAATGAATTCAAATCTAGCATTAATGAGAACATTATACTCATGTCAAGACTAAAACGAAATTCTTCCGAGTAATGAGAACTCAAATGAAACGCCGCCCTCTATTAAGTTAAATTTATTTTAATTAGGGCTTAGCCTATAAATGTTTTTGTTAATTACAATATACGTCAGTGACACTTAAGGTTGCAACAGAAAATGCAGGACTCTGTAGGGACAGTAATGCAATTTTGGCATAGAGTTTAAATATATACCGTATTATATGTCCACTGTTGGATTTTATCAATATTTGTGAATGTTTTTGGAAATATATCAAAAATCCTTGATGTGACTATGTGACTAAACTAATCCAAAGATTTATATAAGGAGGAAACACAAAGCAAGAAGTAAAGGTTCTGCGGACCTTTTCATCCATAGGCCTAATATTAATATTTTAGCGGTCTCTTCCCCTGTGAAATTCCCCAAATTATAAACAAATATATATGAATACGAATACGAATATAATCAGTTTTATTGCAATTTGCATACAGGCTATAAAATTGAAGTTTAATAAAAAAATTCATATAGTGCACAAGACAAAGAACAGAGAAACAAAAGTATGCTCTTAATAAATTATAAAACAAAAGTATGCTCTTAACTCTTCGCTATTCCCCCTCATTTATCTTTATTAGGGCCTACTTTGCCCTCTATGGACACTCAGTCGTTCCTTCATTATACCTATCTCATTTCTTTCCAGCTTATAATTTTTATTTTCTGAAATTTAATCTAAATTATATTAACGCAAATGTAGTTGCTAAACTGACCAATCGGCCATATTTTTTTTGGTCACGTGCATAACTTAACGCTGTTAACGGATTCTGGTTACGTTAATTTTCGTTGTCAACGAAGTCTATTTTACGAACCAGTCGAATGAAAATAATACTCAACAACGAAAATTCGTACTCAACGAAATGAAGCAGTCGAATATAGCCCAATGATAACATGGAATCACCGGGTATCTCTCTAGGGGCTAGTGTATTAATATTATATCAACTTTTGATTTTACCAGGGAGTTGTTATACTACTAGTCTAATCAATTTCCTGCCATCACAAGACGTCATTTGGAGTTTAAATTGTTTGTCATAAACCCTTCTCCTGATTTGTCTTGGGTGTGACGCTAAACAAGTATTACTGGTCTATTTTTTGACCAGTAAATAATAATAATAATGATAATATTTATTTGACATTACACTTTTACAACAGTGGCAGCACACAAGAAAGTGGCACAGTCAAACTTCAACTAATGAACAAAGAGGACAACAACAACTTAAAGCAAAACAACTGAAAGAACTTAACTAAAGAAAGTACAATATAAATAAATCATAAACATCCCTCACACTCCCCACACAAATAATGTAAGGCCTACATAATACACATTACGTGCATACAGTAAACGTACACCCCACCCAAATATATATATATATATGTATATGTATGTATTTATATATGTATATATATACATGTATATATACATATATATATACATATACATATATATACATATATATATATACATATACATATATATACATATATATATATATACATATACATATATATACATATATATACATATATATATATATACATATACATATATATACATATATGATTTTCTGTTACGGATGGAACGATTCTGCATCTTCTTGATCTGGCGTACTAGGCCTCCTTTAGACCTTAAGGAAACAAAATTAACATGAACGACTTTAACCTTTGTATCTCTTGTGGATTTTAAGACGATACGTTCCTTGACTTTTGCACAGCAATTTGTTTATAAATAGGCCTATATCTGTCTCTTATACACATCTAGATGTGTATAAGAGACAGGAGTAAGGACTAGTGTTGTCCGAAAGCTCTGGTTCTATTTCTGGCTGTTTACTTACGTTTACTTTTTAGCTGTTGCTTATCATTTTTGTATCTCTACTGAGATCCAGCCATTGTTTCCCACAGCATTGTTGTTTTTCAGTATTTTGCCTTTTAATCTATATATATTTATATACATATATACGATACACACATATACATATATACACAGACACACACACATTTATATATATATATACACATACATACACATACATAACATACACACACATATACACCCATACACACACATAAATACATATATATTATTATACAAAGCGTTATAAAATTATATAAAAGAAATTATAAATTTAAAACATAAAAAAAAGAAATATATGTATTACTAAAAGCAACGATGCATTTAACCTGTTTTTAAATCTGATCTTCTATCCCAAGCTTTTTTAGCAAATTTTTTACAATATCTGTCAAATGCAGTAATGATGATAAGCAAGGTGTCAGTCCAGTCCACTGGTAAAGCACGATCTAAGTTGTGACGTAAGAGTGTGTGACGTACACTCTTATTTACATCACGTGATATCTCTACCCAGCATGGACGAAAAATGGCGACTAATAGTATTCGAGGTATGTATTTATAGGCTAGATGATTTTAGATCGTTTGGTAGGATAACTTGCAAATGTTGTTAAGTTTTTAGTCTATGATATGTTTAGTGTGTAAGAAAAAGTGAAGAACAAATAGCTATTGTGAAATGGCAACAATGTCAGACTGTTTTGCAGGTCATTCTCGTCAGATTTTGAGACTGATCTGAGCCAAAGTCATCTTTCACAGACGGGGCAATAATGCATTGATTGCCTGACTGGGCTAGGCTTAGGCCTAGGCCTAGTCCTAGCTTGTTTGCACGTTTACGTTGAATACTCGAAAATACTGTTTCGCATCCGGCGTCAATATGATTATCAATTTATTTAAAACTTAGAATTGTTATTAAGTTTGTACAAGATTATCCCTGGTTCACAGAAAAGAGGTCACACTTTTTTTTTATAAATAAGATATAAAGCAACGTTACCAACCATTCTTTGCTCAAAGAGTTGTCAACGAATGGGATAGTTTACCTGATGAAATAGTAACTGCTCAGTCTATTAATGTCTTTATGATAAGTATTGGTCTAGGCATCCTCTTAAATTCAGTATTGGTATTTATATTTTACCCCAGTCCCATCAGGACCCGCAGCAAAAAGTTGGGAAATATTCATGCGAGAATAAAAAAGTAATTTTTTCCGCATCATTTATTTTAACTCAACAGCTTAAAAAAAAACAATGCAATTTTGTGACTGGAAATACATGTTCTTTAAAAATCAATAAAGTTAAACCAGTTTTATACAATATTTACAATATTCCTACCAAATAAAAACAGTCCCTCAATAAAAGAAAAAGCAGTATTTAAAAAATAAAACTGCCCACCATCATCACTTTTTTTTTTTTTTAAAAGAGTGATAATCTAATAATTTTTTTTTCTTAAACGAAATTAAATCAGAGGACCTTTAGGCTATAGTATTACTTCCACGTACTGGAATTACAATAAATATAGGGGCAGACAGATATAGAATCCCCAAAAACTAATTAGAAGTTTGCCGGGGTTGTGCTAATTTCGTTAAGTGTAGGCCTGTCAGATTTGCCTGTGTTGGACTCTCTCAGATGCTTGCCTGTGCCTTGTCAAGTTGGCCTTTGGGTCTGAAACACTATGATACCTGATCTGCCAATGTTTTTTTAGCATTCTAAAAATTGTCCATATTCTACAGTACCCATAGGATATGATATGAAATGACTTGGGGTCAAATGTCATGATTTACTACTATCTAGAAACTCTTCTCTCAGGAATGAGAGAGCTCAAATTTCAGATGTGTATAAGAGACAGATATTATTGCACTTGTAGGTTTATGTCAATATTTACATAATTTATAATTATTGTGGTTATTCTGGGAGATTATATTACATAGGTTTCTCAATGGTAATACTATTGAATTGAACTTTCGACGAAACCGTATGGCTATTTAAGCTTATGGTTTATTTAATGCAAGTTAGGCAATAGCGTCTTCCGTCAAAAAAGTGACACACCTGCCCCTTAAATACGACAAGTATAAGAACGATTTTCCTGCTTGAAATGTTTATGCTGAATTTTGGCAACGCTGTAAGAAACTTTAACTTATGACTGGTTTTCCAAACTTGATTATTTAACGTATTCTTGAGGAAGACCCACCATCTTCAACGCATTTCTGTTATGGTATGACACATAATATATAAATAATAGCCTACAGGTACTGGAATTGGTTTACGACTGGTGTAAAAATAGCCATCGAGTTATTTACATTGCGGTCACAGGATTAAAATAATAAAAAGGCATAATATACAGTACTGTAGGTTAGAAATGTGGAAAGTAAAACATTAAATAAATGACTTTAAATTACTTACAAGCCACGACAGTGGTGTAAGTTTTACTGATATTATTGTTCCTGTATTTAATCTTGTTATTAATATGTATTTTATTGCTTCTGGGAGATTAAAATTTTCCGTGGTTCCGAGGCCATAACAATTGCCATTAATATTTAGTAGGCCTACTTTCATTGTTCAACAAGTGACGTCCGACGACATAGGCCCACCTTGTCCGGCAGATATGGGAAGAGGTCTCTGACTATAGTGAACACAGGAGTACACAGTTTACCTTGCAAATAATTTTTTATTCGATGTATGGAAAGAGGATCTCGGGTTTTAATCTACTAGCTAAACCATCGATGTCCTATTCTAACATGCACTAGGGCGGACGTGCTATATGACACTACCCTGTACGTATGAATACAAAGATTACAATAACAATATAAAGCAACATAGTCAAAATAATGAGAATTGATTAAGTGTAGAAAAAAAAATTTACTTTACCGAACGCATTTGAGACAGAGTAACCGGCTGTGAAGTATCCGGTGCTGTTAGTTGACATATAGAGCCTGTCTCTTATACACATCTTCGTGCTCATATTATTTGTTATATTTTTATTATTCATTATTTTCACTTGACTCCCATAAATAATTTTGTTCGAAGAACATTTTATGCAGTTGTACTTCGCAGCACTTCACTTGCAATTTGCAATTTCTAGTTTATATTATACTGTATTTGTCGGTGCTCTTGTATATAAATTAATTGAAACTGTATGTATATAATATAACTTAGTGGTAGTACTGTATGAATCTAATGGACAATAAGGGTCAGTATACTATGAACCAAATAGTCATTTTAAACCTAATTGCTAGTATGACTGTATATAATGTGTTAACCTACAGCAATGGTCAGTGTGGATCTACAGTAGTTGTCATTTTGAACGGGCATGTATAAACTACAATGCGAGTGTCATCACAACACCAGGTGGCGCCCTTTGTTGTCAAGCAGACGTTGGTAAAGCGGTCATTACGCCTGAATGACTTCATAATCTTAGTGGTTTCGAAAAATATGGACCATTGATCTAGCAAAGTTTTCTATATCACACTGGGACATAAAAGTAAATTTTTAAAAGTTTATTTAAATACTAATGAATTTTTATTTCTGCTAAACTGTGAAGGATATTCCATACCAAATTTAAAATCAGGTTCACTTTAATGAAGAACTTCAATAAAACCAAAAGAAAAATGCTTCTAAGTTTGTCACGTCGTGATGATTTGGTGTCACAGCGTTACGTGACATTAGCCTCTATAAGGATATTTTTCTATGCTATTCTTTCAATTGTGTGATAAATCAGGCCCGTAGGAAGCAATTTGGAAGTGGGGGGGGGGCCCAAATAAGCAGTCTGTAGCCATGGATATTTGACGACTTTTAGTGATTTTTTTTATTAAGTTATTTGATAGGCATTGTCCTTTTGTAAAATGACTTCATTTATGCTTTGTATGTTGTAATAAAAAAAATGAATTAAACAACGAGAAACAAAGAGTATGCAAGAGTACCTATTTTATTTTAAAACCTGTTTTCCATGGCATCTTATCTTATGTTAATACATTACAATATACCAATTACTAGATCTAACCACATATGCATATGTGCAATATTGTGTAAATTATAGATGTTAAAAAAAGTATCATTAAGCAACGAAAGTACCAAATATATTAAAACGGTGTTCGTTGTTTACACAAAACTCATTTGTAACTTTGACAAGATCTAAAGCATCTGTTAAATAATGACAATAATTATAAAACATCAAAATATTATTACAGTAATTACTCATACTAGGCCTAAGCTAGGCCTAAGCATATAAATAGGCCTAAGTGCCAAGTGAGTCTAAAGTCGCCTGAGAAAATGGCCGTCATTTGAATTCAAAATAGCTGCCTACTACTAAGACTCATTCATAATTATCTTGGCAATGGAAAATCGTTAATATTGTAGGCCTAATGTTTTCTCTAGTGATTTAATAGGATCTAGGCTAGCTGCCTACATTTTTTCCTGTGCGGCAGACTAGGCTATTTAGTAAGACCGCCACCCAGCCAAACATAGGGCCTATATCTAATGTTGTTTAAAATCAGTTTTAATCCTTATAACATGGAATGACCAGGGCCAAATTGAAAACTATTTGTAGCATTTAAACTCTTTAATTGTAGTATGATAACATATTTATAAGTTTTATACAGAGATTACAAATTTAAATCACCATAAGTTATGATCCACTTTATAACTGGATGACCAACTACTATTCGAACTCAACCACGTAATGAACCCTACTTCAAGCCAATCAGAGTGTACGTAAGACAAAACATAATCCATAGAAAATCATGGACGCTAGGCGGAAGTTTTTGTCGCAATGTTTTTCAGTATATATCTCAATCAGAAGATATTTTATTAAATACGATACGACACATTTTCTTGGGAAAAAGTGGGGATGTTTTTCAGTAATATATTTCTCACTCAGAAGATATTTTATTAAATCGGCCCTTACGACACATTTTCTTGGGAGAAAGTGGGGGGGGGGGCCAATGCCCAAGGACGTTTTCCTTTAAATGGTCCTCGTATTCACACCCTACGCCAGATCACAAAAATTCTGTCATTTCATTACTGGACCTTTACAAACTATTATAGAAAGTTTTATTTACACTAATTGAAAACTTTTTATAGATATTTACGTCTGGGATCTCAAAAATTTTAATGAAACTACAATTCACACTTTTGACTGATTCGTCGCCAACACGTAATACTATCTTCCTTGTAACATGGTTAATCTTTTTCCGAATGTTTCATGGAGTTCAGTTGATCCGTTTTCGAAATACGTTGTCTGGGACATTTTCCTTTCAATGGTCCTCAGATCTACACCCTACTCCGAATCATCACAAAAATTTAATAATTTCTCTACTAGACCTTGACAAACTGTTTAAAGTATACCCATTGATTTTTTTTAAAGAAGATATTTAGGTCTGGGTCCTCAAAAGTTAAAATGACCCTCCAATTTACACCTTTGACTGATTCGTTGCCAGCACATAATAATTTCTTTATTGTAACTTGGTTAAACTTTTTCCGAAAGTTTCATTCAAATCAGTTGATCCGTTTTCAAAGTATTATAGAATCTTTCATTTAGACCCATTGGTTTTTTTTTTAAAGAG